AGAATGACTAGGTTTAACTTTAGAAAACAGGAAACATACTCAAATTTGACTTTAAATAGTAGCAATCAAGTCAAAAACTATTTTTATCTACTAACTTTCAAAATTCAACTAATTTAAATAATAAAAAATTTTAAATTTAATTAAATTTAAATTTCTTGAATTTAAATTTATTTTACATTTAACTTTTCATTTAAAAAAAAACTTATTTATTTTAATTTTAAATTTTTGAAAATGTATTTCTCGATTTAATTAATTTTTTAAAATTTAAATGTGACCCCCCCCCTAAAAAAATAAAATTAATTGTTATTTTCATGTTTTAGTTCCATTCAACAATTCAATTCAATCCAAACGAACATAAATTTAAGTATATATATTTTTCATTCTTGTTCTTTATTTTTTTGTAGCTTCATTTTTTTGATTTTTAAAATAAACATTCTTCAAATAACTAGAAATTTGTGTTTTCATTTCAATCATGAATATTTTTATGTTAACAATAAATAATTTAAAAATAATTCAAATCTTTTTCTTTTCATTTCACTTATAAAGTATTTTATTTTATCAATAAATATTTTCAAAAACATACAAATTTTCATTTAAATAATACAAAATTTTATTTTACCAATAAATTAATTAATTTTACTACTGAATTATTTTATTTTACTAATAATTTATTTTCAATTTACTAATAAATATTTTTATTTTACTAATGCATATTTTTCAAAAATAATAAAAAATATTCTTTTTTCATTTAAATAATAAATATTTTATGAAAATAGCACAAATTTTATTTTTGATTGTAATAATAAATATTTTCAAAACGACACAATTAATTTTTTTCACTTTAATAATTAATATTTTTTGCGAAAACAAACAAATTCTTTTATTTAATTCATTTTTTTTCATTTAACAAATAAATAAAAGAAGAAGAAGAAAAGAAACATATGACGTAATTTTATATTTTAGCTTTTTTCTTTTCTTTGAAGCGAAAGAGTAAAAGAAAGTTTCTTTTTTTTGTTCATTTATTTCAAAGTATAGAAAAAGAAACGAACAAAGAAAAAACAATTCACAAGTCTTTTTCGATAGAAAATCGTTGAACACGATGGTTATTCGTATCGGCGACATAGAGATTACCATGTCGATCGAAAGACAAACCAACGGGGTTGCTGAACTGATTTGCTCCTGCTCCATAGTCATTTCCACCCACAACTACAGTGCATTGTTTCTTGTCTCCTAGAGTCCAACGCATCACACGACAATTCCGCGAGTCTGCTACATAGAGTGTACCCAACGTATCAACGAAGATTCCTTGAGGATGAGATAATTGTGTCAGAGAATTCCCTTTGCCTTTTTCTCCAGCAATCACAATACCTTCTGTTGCACCTTTATTCCATTTCATTACACGATGATTGTAGCTGTCTGATATGTAGACATTCTGTTGTCGATCGACAAAGAGATATGCCGGCCAGTTGAGCTGATTGAGACCATCACCTTTCTTATTTCCACCAGCTACGAGAGTACCATTCTTATCACCCAATTGATATCGTCTTACTTCATGTTTTTCGTAGTCAGAAACGTAGAGATATCTCTGTTCATCCATTGCTAATCCATAACATTGGATGTTGTCGATGAGTATTTCACCTTGTATTGTACCACCACGACGAGACCATTGTACAACTCGTTTATTCTCTCGATCACAAATAATGAAACTATCCGTCTCTTTGTCAATAAATACATGTGTTGGAAGATTCAATTGATGTAATCCATTTCCTTCGTCGTTACCACCAGGAACAACTAGTCCATTCGTTGTATTACCGTTCTTCCATTGCATGATACGATGATTCAAGTTGCCAGCAATAACCACTGTTTGATCATCATCAACGAAGAGACCTTCAGGGTAGTTGAGTTGATTAGTGGCATCCCCATACCCGTTACCTCCAGCAATAGTCACTCCGTTCTGTTTTCATGTAGCATTAGCAGGAATATTAACTAGAAGAGAAAGAGTAAGAATAAAAGGAGATCTCTCTCTTTCTCAAGTATAGCTAGTATATAAAATAATTTCGTAAATATCGAGTAAAATTCTTTGAATAGATCATTTTTTTTTTCTAGAAATTCCTCAGAATAAGTTTTTTCTATACTGAAAGATTGTTCTATAGAATGAATATAGCATATCGTTCTCTCTAATGTTCTTTTTTGGAATTATATCATAGTGTCTTGTTATGTTTAAAATGAGATTTTTTCCATCAAAATAGTTCTATAGGCATTTATCTTTTGCTTGGTTTTTGAAACATGCGAGTCTATATTTTCTATGAACAGACAAACATATAATAATTATATAACGATTTATTTCTTATATGAGCTTATTAGACGTACGTTGTATTATTTTCCTATG